CGGTGCGGGCGGCCGCGTGCCCTCGCCTGGCACCCGAGGGGAAGGTGCCCCAGCAGCAGGTTGTGCTGGCCGTTGGCCGCGCGGTGCAGCGGGTGCGCGTGGCGATGCTGGTGCTGAACAGCAGGGCCCGGGGCCCAGAGTTCACGGGAAAGAAGTTTTCCTGAACGAGAGGTGCCTGACATCCCCCGTAAGGAGGTTTTCTTTCCAAGGCAGAGTTCTGCGTAGTCTGCAAAATAAAACAGTAATTACAAATGATTGAGCTTGATCTCTGCCTGCCTTTGGGGAAAGCTTTTTCTTCCTGTGTGGTAAGGTGTGACTAAGCTCTAATTTCTGGTCACGGGTGAGCACTAAGCAAGGAAAAGAAACTGAAACCAGGGTGCAGCATGAACTCTTGTGGCAATTGCAGCAAGAGGTTTTGCAAGGAGAGCAGCATCGCTCAAGAGTCGCAGCCTTGCGCGGGGCTGACGGGACCTGCCGCTGGCGGTGGTAGGAGCGTTCCTGCTGCGGGGCGCTGCTGGGCAGCCAGCTGCTCGCTGCTCGCCCTGCTGCTCCTGCAGCAGAGACGCATTTCCCAGTGGTGGAGGTGCGCACCTATGCCCAAGCGCCTGCTCTCCATGCAGTTCCCCAAGCAGGAAAGCAGCCAGGGGACACCCCAGAGAAGAAGCAGGGGGCAGGAGGAGGCTTGGGCTCTTTACCAAGGAGAAGAGGAATAAATGCCCCCTCTCCTTCTCAAGCACAGGCGCTACAAGGTGCCTAGGGGCTGACAGGGAGGCTGAAGGCTGTTTCCTGGGCTGGGAGACTGGAGAGAGTCCTCAAGAGAGGCATTAAGCTAAATGGACTAATGGCCGACCACTTTCTCTTCACGTCTTGCTGAGCCTGGCTTCAGTCCTGCCCTTGCTCTCTCCATTGCCGCTGGCTGGCCCCTTTCTTCACCCTTTCTCAGCCTGAGGGCGCACCTGCATTCATGGGAGAAGTGGAACAGCCGCAGCTGCCCCTGTCCCGCGCAGCAGCCTTGGGAACCCGTTTCTGTCCGTTTACTGCCCGTGTTGCAGCACCTCGGAGACCCACGCGGGAACGAGACGTGTCCGTCCCGGCTGTGGTGTGGAATTGGTACCCTCCACCCGAGCAGCCAAACCAGAGTGAAGAAAGGTTTCCTGGGAGAGCAGAGAACCGCTAACTCTGGTGCCGGGCACAGCACGGGGACGGAGTACGAGCACATCTCCAGCAGGACCGCCCTGCTCCAGAGCGGGTGTCCTGCTTGCGGCGGGAGCAGGTAGAGGGGGACTCGGCCAGCAGCCAGGCTGCCCGCGCTGGCCACAAAGCGTTCCCTGTGCCCCGGGGCTGGCCGGGTGCTGGAGGAGGGAGCTGTGCTCCTCCCTCGCTAATGCCTTCACGGGCTCCTTGCCACATGATGCGCATGCTAGAGGGGTGGATATCCAGCCTGAAGCTACGTTTTTGTTGTTGTTGTTTTTATATTTTGCTCCCAGTGCAGCCACATACAGGACCTTGTCTTTCCCCCAGCCCACCCTGTGCGTGGGGACAGCCGTGCAGCTGGGAAGATGCTCCCTGGGGACTCTCACGTGAGAGGCACAGGTGCATCAGTCCCACATTTCCCGGCTGCTCTGCACTGGAACTCAAACCACATTAATAAAAGGCCTTTTCTAGAGCCCTCCACAAAGGGCTTAATTGTTTAAAAGCTCCTAGTGCAGAAGTGCCAGGCGAGCAGAGCTGCTCCTCGCTGCAGCCCGGAGCCGGGCAAACGCCGATTCACCTTTGTGCCCACGCGTTTCCATCCCGCGTGAGCAGCCGCCCTGCCCTGGGCCAGCTCGCGCCCCGCTCTGTCGCGGTCCGTCGGCGCACGCTTCCTTCCCGCTCCCCTAACGCTTCGCTTCCCGCCGGCACGCGCAGCTTTACTGCCGTTTCAGCAAACCGCCGCGCCTGCCAGCCCAC